GCGGCTCTGCATCGCCTCCGAGGAAACTTCGGGAATTTCGGGAAAAAAAACTTTAGTTTATTCTTTGTCAGTATTTAATAACATAACTCAGGTCTCTTAAGTTATTTTTCTTTAAAACAATTCTGTTATGGTTAAAAAAGTTGGTTAAATAAAGATTTAATTCGAAGTCTGTGTTTGTGTTTTTTATTAAAATTAAATAATTTAGCAATATAAAAAGTCCAGGCAGCGCTGCACATAAGATATGGTTTCAAACCTTTTCAATAATTATCGATAACGATCAATATGCATTTTTTTTTAATCGATAAGCTTTTTTTCTATATCGCCCAGCCCTATGCGGGATCTCGCAATACTTTTGCAAGATCTCGTAAAAGTATTGTGGGATCTCGCAAAAGTTAATATTTTTGCAAGATCTCGCAAAAGTTTATTTTTTTTATTAGTATTGCGAGATCTCGCAACAGTATGGCGGGATCTCATAATACTTTTGCGAAATCCCGCAATAGTTTTGCAAGATCTCGCAAAAGTATTGCGGGATCTCGCAAAAGTTTATTTTTTGCGAGATCTCGCAATACTTTTGCGAGATCCTGCAATAGTTTTGCAGGATCTCGCAAAAGTATTGCGGGATTTCGCAAAAGTTAATTTTTTCCCTCCATGTCCCTTTAGGGGCTCCGTAGGGTTCCAAGGCTAACAAACTTTCAAACAAAAATTCCTCATGATACTTTGGAGCTTTGGGAAACATATTCTTCTAGAACAGGGATGTCAAAATCAAATACGCAGAGGGCCAAAAAACAAATTTGCTACAAGCCGAGGGCCGAACATAGCATATTGAACCAAGACCTATAACATTGTGTTTTTAAAAACAGAAAACAATAATATTAGTAACCTTTTATTATATTAATAAACCTATTAAGATAAATACATAAAATAAAGTGCGTGCATTATAAACTGAAATGCATTACTGTGCTTTGAAATAGTAAAATAATAATAAAAAAAAAAAATCTAATTAGTTGAATTCTCTCTCATGGCTCTTATCTGCATTTGTTCCTGATTCTATTCAACGGAAAAATATGAATAAATAAAACAAAATACAAAAACTATTGCACACAGACAAAACAATACTAGGATCAATGAAAAAGTACGTCTTGTACAAAGAAATGTAAAAATGTGATGAATCAGGGCAGCGAAACCAGAATTCAGCCAGAGGTTCTTTGAAAAAGGAATTTATTAAACAAAAAGCAGAGCAATATCAAAAAAGACAGAAAAATCAAAAAGAATCAGACTACAGATCACAATCTGTCCGTCAGGATTAGCTTTGCTCCTCCCTCCATCCAGGCTCCTTTTATTTTGGCTTTAATTTTGGCGCAGCATAGGCAGCAAAACAACGATTTGCACTAAACCTTACCGTTTTGTTCTTTGTTATTTTTATTGTAATGTTTTTTGTTTTGTTTATGTTTTAAAAATTGAAATTTTCAATAAAAACTTAAATTACAAAAAAAAAAATTTTGGCGCAGCATTTGCTGAGCGCAGTTAGTGCACTCCGTCTCCTAAGACAACCGACTTCAGCCCGGCTTGGATCATTAAAGGGGGGGAAAGCAAAAGCCAAAACAATCCAAACATGACTTTGACATGTGAGTTGTAGAGCGATTTATAAAAATGGGGAAAGTTCTCCTTCCGTTAGACCAGATTTAAAACACATTACCAGTGAAATGTTCACACATACTGACCCATGATTAGGATCCAAACATGGATCATAATGTCTGCAGCAGCTTTACTGCTTCAGGGCCTGAACGTCTCGCCTTTAATCGATATAAACTCAAGAAAAAGATCTGAAATGGCTAAAATCTGATCTCTACTTTGAGCGTAAGCTTGGGGGCGGTTTGGTAAAGCAGGAGCAAATATCCTGTGGAACAGACCTCTAAGAAGTGGTTTATCGCTAAATTAGCCTCAATGTTACTAAATTAAAACAATGCTGCTGGAGAAGGTATCATTTCCCCCACAGGGATGGAAACAAATTAAATACCCAATGAAAGTCTTTGCTTAGGGAGGGGGAATAATTTTTCCACATAGGTTTAGGTTGGTAAGAATTGTGTTTTTTTTTTCCTTTAATAGTTTTAATCTCCATTTATGAACTGCATTTATATTCCAAATTGTGTTATCTTTGTCTAATAAAAGATGTGTGATGATCTGAGACTTTTAATGGAACCAGGAAGCATAAAGAGAGGAAATCTTTGAGGACTGAATCCTTTTTCACAGCATTTTGCACGCTGAAGTGTTTAAGAAATATAACTAGACTCAGGATAGTTCTGTTGGCTTCAGCTTTCTTTTTTATACAGAATCCTTTTTTTTTATGAGCAGCAGCTGGTTTTAGACCATGAGTTCAATGAAAACAGTTAAAATAAAAAATGAATGCTGGTATCACTTCTTTTATAACATGTTAGATCATGTGGTGAAAGGCCAAGAGTTTTAAAAGAACTAAAAAAAAACTGCAAACTAATTTTCCATTTTTCACATTTTGTCACTATTGCATTTATGTAAAAGGATATTTAT